TCTATCTATCTATCTATCTATCTATCTATCTATCTATCTATCATCTATCTATCTATCTATCATCTATCTATCTATCATCATCTATCTATATCTATATCTATATCTATATCTATATCTATATCTATATCTATATCATCTATACATAAGTTGTTCTCTCTTTAAAATTTTGAGATACAGTTTCATCTAACAGATCAAAATATACTCTAAATCACTAGTATATGGCTTTGTTCTAGTCTCCTGCCTGATCACATTCTCCCCCTTTTTTTAATCTTCTTTTTTATTTTTTCAAACAACTTCTTATCTTATTAATTCCTTTTATAAAATGTTTTATAATTTTCATTTTTACATTCATCTTCCATCCCTTCATTGTATCAACCCTTATTTTGTACATATATAAGTCTTTCTTCCTTTAAAATTTTAGGAGGCACTTTTTTCTAACAGACTGAAATACGCCCAAAATCTAGTATGTGGCACTGATCTATGCACTAGCCTGATCATATTTGATCATATTCTGTTTTTTTTTGTTTTCTTCTGTTTTTGTTTCTTTTTTATTTTTTTCTTTTTCTTTTTTTTTTCTCTTTCTTTTTCTTTCTTTCCCTTTCTTTCCCCGGGTTTCTGATCTTTTCTGATTTGTACAGAGTGTATTCGCTTGGGACGTTGTTAACCTCTTAGTATTTTGTTCTCTCATTCATCTATTCTCCTCTGGGCAAAATGACAAGACAAAAGAAATCACCTTAGCAAAAAGAACAAGAGGTAGTACCGTCTGCCAGCAACCTACTCAGTACGGACATTAGTAAGATGTCAGACCTAGAGTTCAGAATCATGACATTAAAGATACTAGCTGGGCTTGAAAAAAGCGTGGAAGTTATTAGAGAAACCCTTTCTGGAGAAAAAAAAGAACTAAAATCTAACCAAGTCAAAATCAAAAAAGCTATTAATGATATGCAATAAAAATGGGGGCACTAACTACTAGGATAAATGAGGCAGAAAAGAGAATCAGTGGGCGCCTGGGTGGCTAAGTTGGTTAAGGGACTGCCTTCGGTTCAGGTCATGATCCTGGAGTCCCAGGATCAAGTCCCACATCAGTCTCCCTGCACAGCAGGGAGTCTCCTTCTCTCTCTGACCCTCTTCCCTCTCGTGCTCTCTATCTCTCATTCTCTCTCTCTCAAATAAATAAATAAATATATAAAAACTTAAAAAAAATAAAGAAAAGAGAATCAGTGATATAGAAGACCAAATGATGGAATCTAAAGACGCTGAGAAAAAGAGAGATAAACAACTTCACGAGCACGAGGGCAGAATTCGAGAGATAAGTGATATGATAAGATGAAACAACATTAAAATAATTGGGATCCCAGAAGAAGATGAAAGAGAGAGAGGGGCAGATGGTATATTGGAGCAAATTATACCAGAGGACTTCCCTAATGTGGGGAAGGAAACAGGCATCGAAATCCAGGAGGCACAGATAACCCCTCTCAAAATCAAGAAAAATACGTCAACATGCCGACATCTAATAGTAAAACTTACGAGTCTCAGAGACAAAGAGAAAATCCTGAAAGCAGCTCTGGAGAAGAGATATGTAACCTACAGTGGTAGAAATATTAGATTGGCAACAGACCTATCCACAGACACCCGGCAGGCCAGAAAGGATTGGCATGATATCTTCAGAGCACTAAACGAGAAAAATATGCAGCCAAGAATACTATATCCAGCTAGGCTGTCATTGAAA